ACGCTTTGCATACTTTAGTAGGTATTTTGTCCCATTTTTCCTGAGTAATTGTCTTTAGGTTTTTGATGTTTGTTGGACTTCTATCACAGATCTTATTTTTCAAAAACCGCCATAAATTCTCTATTGGATTCGGCGACTGACTGGGCCATTGTAAGATGTTAACGTTGTTATTAGCAAGCCATTTCTTCATACTCTTAGCAGTACGCTTGGGATCATTGTCCTGCTGGAAGATCCAATCAGGAGGAAGCCCAAGGTTCTCTACAGAAAGCGATAAATTTTCGCTTAGGATTTGTTGATATTTTTCTGCATTCATTCTACCATATATTTGCCAACACCTTGCATAGAAAAGCAGCCACAAACCATGATACTACCCCCATCAAATTTGTTTCGCCGTCTTTTCTCCATTACATGATTCAGGAATAACTCAATTTTACTCTCATCTGTCCAAAGAACTCTTTCCCAATAAGAATTTTCCTTATCTTTATGCTCTGTCGCAAATTTCAACTTGACATCTCTATGCCGTTCCAGAAGGAGTGGTGTCATTCTTGGGGAGCGCGACTTTATACCATCTCTGCGTAATTCATTACTAATCGTTTGCTTAGTTACGTCAACTTCTGACAATCTCAGATCATTCTGAAGGTTTTGTCTGATGGCCATTGGGTTATTTTGGACTTGTCGCATCAACTACCTTTGTTCTCAACAGTATTACGTCTTTTAAATCTTGCAATAAATGAACCAATTGTTGAAAAAGCTATATTCGTGTCACTGGAGATGTTTCTGTAACTTTTTTTCCATTCTTCCATAGCTTAATAGCTCTTTTTGAGCACAAGTCATTTCCTTATGTTTAGCCATTATTAGAACCGTTATCAGTGAACAGTGACTGCAGAATGATCCAATTTTGAACTGAATGTTGCAATAGAGTTACTAAAAATATTATAGAAGAGTTTAGAATCTTCTACTTTGAAGTACAACCAAAATCTACCGTATTATAATGCAAAAATTGATACTGTTCGAACCCTTTTTTCACTATTCGATAAATAAAAATTTGCATCACTATCACTTATCGATGCATTTCTAATTTTAAATTGCAGATTCTGATTCTATGCCCTAAAATACATATATAACATTGTTATTTGAGGTTTTCCTTCGCTATAAGTGAGAATAACAAGCATTTGTTTGCTGTACGATCACTTGTTCAAACCCACTGTATATTTATCCATGAACATGCTTACGTACTATATTACCATATTTTGATGAGAAAAACTGGCAAAATGTCTAATCGTTGTTTTCCCATTAATTAGCAATACATATATATGTGTATGTCTACGCGTGTGTTTATGTGTGTGTGTGTGAGAGAGAGATAGAGAGAGAGAGAGATAGAGTGAGATGACAAAAATGTGTTGATTATATCATTTCAGTTACAAACTCAGAGCCAAATAATTCGACAGGAGTTGGGATCATCGAGTTAATGATCTCTTCCTTAGCTGCAATGTGTTTCGCCAGGGCTACATACAGTTTTGAATTCAGAGTTTTCCTTCTCCTAGACCGGGTGCCACCTAAGGCTATAGAACCCAGGCTGTCCTACTATTTAACCCATAGCCGGGGGAGGGGAGAAGAGTTAGATTCATAACTTTCCAAAGGGTATTAGGACCAAAGTGAATGTAATAAACTCTACTGGAATTCGAACTTGGCTCTCCGATTCCTCAATCTCAGTCGCAATTCATTACTATACCGTGCCTCAAAAAAAAAAAAAAAAAAAAAAAAACGTTTAGTAAATTTAAAATTTGACCAGAGATTCGGGAGTTTTGAGGAGCGTGGAACCGGGGTGGTACCAACTGTCAGAATCCCAGCTATTGGAAAATAGAAAACACCCAAAAGACTATGAAAGTATAAAAATACTTATTTATAGTAAGATTACCAACAATACATACTTATATGAACAAATGCCGATCATATTTGTTTCGATTCATAAACAGAATATTTTTCCGCGCTAGGCAGACATTTCTTTCTTTGGTAGACCGATTGCCATCCAAGGCTATAGCACCCATTCTGTCCTACTATTTACCCATAGCTGGGGGAGTGGAGAAGTGTTGGATTCATACCTTTCCCAAGGGTATTAGTACGTAAGTGAATGCAATGAACTCGACTGGTATTCACAACCAAAGGAGCCAATAAATCTATTGAATGTATCTGTCTATATTTCTGAGATGAGGTATTATGTACACTATTTACATTATTCGGACTATTGTCCTCATCTTTGTTGCCATATTTATCACAACGTTTCGGCCTTTTTCAGGAGAGGGGAATTAAAAGGAGATAACTGAGATCCATTAGACATGACACGTGAAACTAGAACAGTCAACCCCAGAGAGCGAAATAAAGGGTTCATTCCAACCATCTGAAGAAGGCCGGAGCGTACAACGGCCGAAACGCTGTGATAAATATGGCAACAAAGATGAGGACGAAAATCTACTGAATTATTACATTTCTTTTACACTGAGTTTCAACCAGATCAAAGCGATCGGGAAAATAGAGAGTTGGTTCGCGGGAAGACACTACTTGAGGAGTGGAAGTTACTTCTCACCTGCGGAATACGGTGGGAAGGAGAGTTGTTTGATACAATGTCCGTAGCCTGGCGGATTCTGGTCGTGAAGGTTAGAATTGATGGAACTGAGGAATGTAGCTCATATGAGCACTTTTCTTGGAAGTAGCGGTAGATCAATGAGGGGGGCTTGCTATATCCTGTCTGTGAGAGAGAGAGAGGGTTGCAGGTAGAAAATAATTTATCATTCATAAGGACGGGGAGACTATTTTGGACTGGGCAGTTCCTGCTCAAATATGACAGCAGTTCTCCATATATTGTTACTACACAAACACAAACGCGAAACTCTGAAGTCGGTCAACAGATATGAGATAACTCGCGTGAACACTTCTAAATGTATTGAATGTTGTAGCTGAAGTTATCTATTGAGCAATTTCATTACCCAAAATCTGCCAGTCTCAGTAGACGTTAAATTCTAATAATGTTTACGCATTTTGATAGATGGTATTCCCACTATTTACATAAGGACTATTTTCTCATCTTTATTGTTGTTACAACATCTTTTCGACCCTCTAGCCTTCATTCATATATCGATCCAGTTAAAATACAGTGAATTCGGAACTAAACACTTTATTCAATCAAGAGAGGTAGACCGCTCTCGTTCCACTTCCCATGTATAAGGATATCTTGTCTAGTTCTTATTTTTAGTAATACTCAGTTATTTCTTTGCCGTTTTGGTGACATAGTAATTGTGAGTTCAATACCTGGGCTGGGTAGTGTGTACTTGGACTCAGTATAAACAGAATATAGACATGAGCAGCGTAACGAGAAGAATCTACCGCATTTGATTTAATAAAGTGTTCAGTTCGGTATTCCTTGTAAGTTAACCGAATCGACAAACACCGGATTTTGTTTATTCATATTTTTGTCTAATTTCTAGGAAACGCAACGCATGATCTTTTGTTCGTCAGCTCAGAACTCTCTCACAAAACTCAAAGGTTACTAAAAGCAACACACCCTAATCCTTCTAGGTCCTGGTACGTTTCACTAACCAGTAAACTACAGTAGAGTTCAATTTACAGAACAGTTCAACCAAAGACATGTAAACATAGCGGCCTCTTGAAATTCTTTAAAAAATCTAGGACGACGTTGGTGATGGCGTTCAATTGCTTCCCTCAGATTAAATTATTTTTGGCAGTTTTTCGAAATTAAAGGGTGGGAAAATGAATTAAGGAAATAAACCGTTGGGGTGGGGCGGCTGTGAAAAGAGGGAGAGGCGGAGAGAGAAAGAGAGAGAGAGAGAGAGAGAGAGGAGAGGCGGAAACGCATAACATCTGGTTTTTAATTGTAACGGTTCACCCTGTAGAATGAGACGGCGCATTAGGAGCACAAATGTCGCCAACACAATGCAGTTGGGATATTCTGCGGAATTGCCTTCGAAATTGAATGCAGAAACCAGGCTAGATTTTATTTATTTATTCATTCATTCAGCGTTTTCTTTTGCTTTTTTTAAATTACTATTATTATAATAATAATTATTATTTCCTTTGATTTCTGTTGTATACACATTTCCTTCCGGGTCCCAACCAGAGACCTAACCTAAGATCAGAAATGGCTTCATGACATTTGCAACTGATTATTTTTCTAAAAAAACAAACAAACAAAAAAATACTAAGTTCACACACATTTTACATAGATAAAGCTCTTTGTAACATGTTAGCTATTCTTGTAAGTAGAACTTTTTGCATTTCTTTGAGCTATGAACGACCAGGAATCCCATCAATGAGTCTATCGAAACCTTTTCCAATCAATCCGAGAGCTACAGCTTCACCTTGAATTATTAAAATCCTTATGTACCACATCTTTGAGATTTCCTTTTCAAGACCGTTGTATTTTGATAGTATTTTGAAGATCTTCAAAGATACATTACAATCTACAGGAACTGTCATGTCAAAAAGAATGCATTATTATTATTATTATTATTCGTACGTTTGACGCCGTCAGTTGTCAGAGACGTGAATAATGACGCTTTTGTATGTGTACGATAGTATAATCCTGAAGAGTATATCGCACATGATGGTCGAGTCCTGAGAGAAGCTGGGATTCTAGCGGTTCTGCTTTACGGAACGAATTCAAAAACAATGCTGGCCACTTGAACGTGGATCAGTCAGCTAGACAGCAGTTCTTCAATGGGGAGAGACAAAGATATATCTGATGTTATTTGGCTTTTTGCCAGATAAAAAATGACGTCTTATCACTATTTCTATGAATAAATATCAGATTTACAAAAATAAAAAATGTGATTTTTGTTACTCAAAATAAAAATAATCGTAATTGATGAATCTTAAGGTCATGAACTTATTAAACAATTTCAACAGTTGTGTTACTTTTCAATCGGATTTACACACACAACCTATAAACGTTCCGATTTTCATCACACATCCCCAATAAACAAAGCATACGGCCATATCCCGTTGAAGCATCGGTTCCCGTACAACAATTGAAGTTAAGCCACGTCGAACTTGTTTAGTACCTAAATGGGTGACCGCTTAGGATTATCAAGTGCTGTAAGTTTGCATGTGCGGCTTCTATAATGTCTAATGGATCGGAATTGTTTAATCGGTTATCCGAGTTTCAATTTCAGTTAGGTTTGTTATATTCACTTAAGCGGAAATACCTTTCGGAAAGGTATGAATTCACCTGTTCTACCCCAGGCGTATGTAAATAAACCGCTATTATTTCCAAAAATAAAATTGTATATAAAATATTTAGATTTCGGCATTATCAATTGGTCGATATGCCGCTAAACAAAAACAACCAACCAATCCAATAAGTAAAGTAAATTTCAAACGATATTAAAACCTATAAATTTCAAACGATATTAATAACCTATAAACGATATTAAAACCTATAAATTTCAAACGGTATTAAAACTTATAGAGGACCACAGAAATTTTGTAGGGTCGATATGCTTCCCACAGTCAAGCTCGATAGCCAGGCTAAGACCACGCCAGGTTAAACCAACGATAAGCATGCGTTCTCTTGATATGCTTCCTCCTGCTGATTCTAAGAATCCATACTGCTATGTCTGTTCTTAATAAAACGAATAAAAAAGAAACCGCCATTCGTTGATATCATCTGTAGAGTTCTGTTGGGATTCAGTGACGACACAATAATAATCGAATTGTTACTAAGAAGGAGGTATGTTTTCCGGAGTTACTTACACGCATTATGGATTTAATCGATAGAATACATCTAAAAATGCAAGCGCAGTCACACAGGCGCGTCTAGCTGCGTTCACTGGATTTTAAGTATCTCTCATAACGTGTGTATGGAGTCAGCTGCAGTGTCCACTGTCCACTATTTTCTAGTCCGCCGGCGCGACAGATAAAATAAGAATAACCAATACGAATGTCGTTTGTGAGACGTGACGCCGAACAAACGGGGAAAGCATTTGGTTCGGGGGTTGTTATTAGCAAATACTTTGTCGCTGGGGTCGTATTGGCGCTGACCTGCCCGCCGGCAAACAACGTCCACCCACTCATCAGCTATAAATACCTAGGCAAGGTCTCATGCACGCAAATAGCCCTCTACCATATCTTTGCCACATGCCCACCCGTAGGCTAGAAGCACTTGGGTGCAGTCAACGCGTAGGAATATATCAAGAACAATTGGTTTACACAAAACACGTAAAGTACCCCCTCACATATATATTAGGTTGGTGCAAAAATAATGACGTAATAATGTCGTTTTTGACGTATTTTTTAAGGTCAAAAACGACATTATTACGTCATTATTTTTGCACCAACCTAATAAATAGAGAATCTTTTTTTTTTTTTTAAATTTTAATTAATATTTTGATATTTTGATATTTTTTTTATAACTCATTTATTTTTAAAATTTTTAACTTATATCCGATTGGAAGAATTTGGATTAATGACATCTCAGTCCATTTATGAAGTCAAAAATTTAAAAGCTAAAATTCGGTATCAACCACTGACGGAAATTACTGGAGTAATCGATAATTTTGTGATTTTTTTATTTTGCACCTCTATGTCAAGTAAATAAAAAAAAATATGAATAAATATTTTGTCATCCAATTTATACAAAGTGATAAAATCCTGTCTGATAAATAAATTTTTTTTTCTCCTTTAGAAATTTTTTAGAACGTTTGGATACGAAACTGAACACATTCAAATATATGAAATATTATTTCAAGGAATCTATTACGAGAAGGATAGGCAAAGCTTCTTCGTGAACGAGTCGGTTAAGTTACATCGGATCTAACGACAATTTCCCTGTGCACAGGGAGACGGAAATTTGAATTCTACCGGAGAGCGAAAAATTTCTTTAAGATTTCTCAAATATTTAAACATATAGACGAAAATAAATAAATATACTGTTTCATAAATAAACGAGTATATATGAGTATCCACTAAAAATAACGTTTGAAGAGATAAAAACGGTCGGATTAATAAATTTAAATAATCCATTACTTCTTTAGTGATATATATATATATATATTTGTTTGAACAAAAACAGATCACATTAAGGTTCCATGCAATAAGTTATTTCACCACAACCCTTTTAAAGGGCTCTGGATCATCAGACTTTACTTCCAAAAGTTGAAATGAAAAATGAAAAGAAATTTACACATTTTGACGGACCGCACCAAGCGCATGTGAAATTAACGAAGTGAGTAAGTGAGGGGGGAGAGAGAATATGAGTGAGTTAGATGTACCATTTTCAATTCCTTATCCTTAACCCCACTCTGTGTAGGCTAGACGCCGCTTAACTTACGTTAAGTTAATTTTACATATGTTTGGTGCGGTCCGTCAAAATGTGTAAGTTTCTTTTCATTTTTCATTTCAACTTTTGGAAGTAAAGTCTGATGATCCAGAGCCCTTTAAAAGGGTTGTGGTGAAATAACTTATTACATGGAACCTTAAAGTGGTCTGTTTTTATTCAAACATATTTGCTCTGAATTTACATTGAGCTCTCTGGATATCAACCTCCTTGGGTCTACCCATACGGATTACCTAGTTTTGCATAAACTAACTAACTATATATATATATATATATATATATATATATATATATAGTATTATCAGATTGTGACTGGTAGGGATAATAAGGAAGATTTTAATCCAGGGAAAGCTCAATGTAGACTACAGAGCATAATAATAATAAAGAAGTAACCCTTAAATATTTATTTCGTGAAAATCGAAACATTCATCTCTTCAGATTGAAATCTCTTAGTAAATAGCAATTTACAATTAGTCAGTTTACTAAGAGATTTCGGTTTGAAGAGATGAATATTTCTTCGATATTCACATACATAATAACCGAAATGAATATTTAAGGTTTTCTCCTTTATATATATATATATATATATATATATATGTGTGTGTGTGTGTGTGTGTGTGTGTGTGTGTGTGTGTGTGTTGTGTTTGTGTGTGTGCAAACAAATTTTGTTAAATGCAATCAACATGGTCTGTCTATCTAATTTCTTATGTAATTTTTCCAATTCTAGAATAAAATGTTGCACATCTGGATCAACTGCAGTGGAAATTAATCTAGCAAATATTCTATATATATATTTTAATCGTTTCACCCCATGCAAGGCACTAACGACGCTAAGACACAAAGGATTACTAAATGTGAAAGAATAAGAAAAAAAAAAAAACATTAAGGAGTGAGAACAATAGAAGCGTAATGCAGACGGCAGTAGATAACGATTGACATTGCATTTGATTTTTTAAAGAGCAAAGTTGGCTGGAAAGCATGCAACTCGAAGAGAGTTCCACAAGTGAGAAATGCGAGAAAAGAAACTGTTAGCATATAGTTGCATCTAGCCAGCTCAACTGTAAGTTGATATGACCTTGCCATCAATCTAGTACTGAACTTAAATTCATAAAGTTTAGGTGCCATAGCGAACAATTATCATGAAAGTATTTCTAGAAAAAGTACAAGGAAGATATATTACGACTGTGAAAAAATGATTCGAAGTGATTATTAATAGAAATAGAAAATAATTTATAAACACTTTAAAATACAGTCTCCTATTTTAAAAGTTTTTTTAAAATTGTGTATAAAATAATTAATCTTTTCGAATTGAGTGATTGATTTGTTTTTTTTTTTTGTCTTATCAATCTATTGCAGGTTCTTTAAGACCAGAAAATGTTTTTAGATTGTAAGAATTTTTTAATATAATAATGATTTACTGATACAAGTCTAACTAACCCAGTAGCCTTTTTACGAACTTAGATACATATAGAATTATCTACGGTTTTAATGCATGTCATACATGACTGACCAATGTGAGTCGATCTAAACAAAATTGTAAATACCAAAGTTCTGTCTTTTGTCTGTCTTCTCTCAATTTCTGACAAAGTTATAATAAAAGTGAAACGTTTTAGATTGATAAACGCTTCCTATTTCACGTTTATCTTATATATATATATATATATATATATATATATATATATATATATATATATATATATATAAACTTAAAGAAAGAAGATTTTTTTTCTACTTCGTTTACTTTCTTGGGAACGGATGTTAGTGACTTGAAAGTTTTCCCAAAGCTATGAAACCTAATCGAAATTTTTAGAAGCTTCTACTTTTTATTTATTTTTTTAAAATCAAACTGACAGAAGAAAATAAAAAAAAAATACATAAAAATACAAAAGTACAAAATTTAGAAATTGAAATTAAATGAAATATCTCTCAAGTAATGTTCAGTTAACAGTATAATCTAGGATTATGGCATATAATGAGGAAAGTGGACTTGGAAAATTTGACACTTACATGATATAGTGAAGGCAAGAGGAACAGGGGATAACAGAGCATAACCTACCTAGAGAGCTTGTGTAAATGGATGGAAGAACAGGGATTAGGAGAGATAACAAAAAGACAAACTTTGCTAAGGACCACAAACAACAGGAAATTGTGGATCGCCAATGTCCTGAAATGTCACGGCACACAGAAGAATACGTTGTCTTACCTTCTTTTTAAATATTAATAATTCATCTTCAATGTCTAAGCAGAAACAAATAATTTTATTATTATTAATATTTATAATTGAATTGAGTCTATATCCGACTGATTTGTGGGGGTATCGGTACCACTTGAGATGATACTTTCATTCATAAGACGCCGGGTATTTGGCGAATAATGAAACTCAGGTCAGAGTTTATTCAGATCAGAAGCAACGCATAGAATCAGCAGACGAAATCCAGACGAAAAGGACAGTAGAAGACATTAAGTGGTATCATCTGTGCTTAAGTCTCGTGATTGGTGGACATATGAGTGTAAGTGATTTTCTAAACTTAAAGCCATATTCTTACTTTTGATTTATTTGTTTTTAATAGTACACAAAATCCATGGTTGTATTGAAATGAGTCAGCCAAATGTGTGAACTACTCATCGCGAACCTCAAAATTAAGCGACTGTGAAAATCTACCCATCTGGTTAAAAAAAATAACACACGAAATGGAAATGGTAACATGAGTAAATTCTTTATAAGGAAACATTCAGCATCCTCTGACCGAGTAGCCAGTTTTGGC